ATATTTTGGATATACTATCACTGCTTGTATTAAATCTTTTATTAATTATCTATTTTTCCTTGGATGTGCAGGCACAATGTTTTGCCAATCGTGATGGGGGCTCATCCGACGGATTACGCGCGCAGCTCGCCGTACCGTTCTTATATCCATGTAGACGAATTCGAGTCGCCGAAAGAACTCGCTGAATATCTGCATCGACTGGACCGCGACGACGACCTGTACAATTCATATTTTCGCTGGAAGGGTACCGGCGAATTCATCAACACGTATTTTTGGTGCCGGGTGTGCGCCATGTTACACGATGACCGTCCACCAAAGTATTACAAGGATGTGAACGAATGGTGGCGAGGGGACGGCGTGTGCACGACTAACTCATGGCGAGAACACGACCTCGCACGTCCACAGAATACTTGAGGATAAATCGCCCCGAGGATTCGTTTAAAAGGCTCTTCCGGCAGCCACGGGGAGATCCGTGCGTGTGTGCGTGCGTGCGTCCGCCCATGACACGTTGCTCAATTTCTACAAACGATTCCGATTCTTCCAAAACAGAACATTGCCTGAGTCCGAAAGATGACCGGAAACTTCAGAGAACGTGGTATTGTGCTGTCACGTTCAAGAGGGTGGCTCGAGACGGTTCCCGACCACCCGTAGATGTTGAGCCAATCATAAATAAACCCATACAACACATTTTATTCCAGAGATGTTTCTCAAAATGTTGGGATGTTCTCAGGATGTTCTTCAGAATGTTCTTTAGACATCTGTGCTGTATGGGAAGTTCCGAAACGAGATCCCGGCAGGGCGCGAAAAGATGCGTGACCTCGCATGACCTCGTTTCGCGTACACTCGAGCTGTTTTGAAGAAGGTATTAATAAGACCCTGGTCATGCGACTTTTCATCACACGGCTGTTTTTAGAGGCGCTCGAAAAGCTACGACTCGATGATATGAAGTTTCGCGCAAGTAAACTATCTACGAAGTGGCTTTTACTCGGCGATTGAGACGCGGATAAACGATGAGATACAGGAAAATCTTTCAAGGTCTAAATGAGAATGTTTGCTCGCGAGAAGGGTCACTCGCGAATTTTTTCGAGGGGGCAATCTGTGTGCCTAATTGTCGAATCTTCCAAAATAATGTTTCTATACACTTCTTTTTTGGACGATAAACAGAGAAGGTGATTTTATGAGGACAGCCACAATCCTTGAGAGGTCACTTTACTTATATCATGATGGAACTCATTCGGGGACAAAATTTTGCAATGTTCATACAAATTTAAGAACAAATTCAAATAGGCATATGAAAGGCGCCGTAAAATATAATACGTATTATGAGAATAAAGAGAATTATATACGTTTGACTTTAGAAGATTCTCGCTACATATTTAGTATTAAATTATCTGTGATCCTAAGTTTTATCTGTACAATTTAATAAACACGATACACACTTTAAATGAAGAATTAGGATCACGTTTGCTATTAAATGTGCAATGAGAATAGTCTTTGTATACGGGGGAGTATAAATCACCGGATGTCTTTCAACTACATGTACTAGAGAACCAGTTGCGAAAGATATTAGTTTTAAAAAAGAAGATGTTAAGCAGCATCGAAAATTACGATGTTAATTAGAAATCAATTGGAAATTATGATAAATTAGTCTTCAGTCATATAAATAACAAAATCTTATTTCTCAATTGATTTTATCATAACAAAACTTTTAAGTTAATCTTAATTACAGTTTACAGTGACTGTCAAAAGTTCCTGGTCAATATATAATTTTATCAATCTAGTATTTCTTAGTTTATATGATATTACAATTTAAATAATTTTATAAGATATTACAATTTTTATAATAATTATTTTAAGAATACGATATTCTAAATACTAGAATATATTAAGCATTTATTAAATCTTTCTTTGTAAAGATTTTTTTTATCTGAACAATATAATAAAATTACTCATACGGTTAGACAACCACTCTATGTCAGTAATTAAGCTGATAGTTATGCTAATAATTAAAAACATGTGAGAAACTTTGCTAAAATGCGAGTAATTCACATATTTATCACGATAGTTGTAGTTGGAAGAACAATCGGTGGAGACAAACTTGAAACGATGCTAGATAAATAACCATTATCCGATAAATGAAAAAAAATGAGCAGCTGCGAAATTTGCGTGTAACCTAAAGGAACAGTGGCGTCTTGAATGTAAAGTACAGTATTGTTTTGTAAAGCAGTTTGTGAGTTTTGTCGAAGAGAGTAAAAAAACTCGTAGTCACTGCTTTTTGTAGAGTGAGTATTACTGTTTATTATTTAATATTATTGTTCCTTCTTGCGAATTCTGTGAGGGGATTTTATCGTTGTACACTGTAGGTGAAAAAAAATTCATGTGCATTCAGATTTATGTCATGTGTAAAAACTGTAATGAATTTTACTTTTTTGACAATAATACACAATAATAATTTCTTGTACATATACATTTATGTACTCCTATTTGCGAAATTGACAGAGTGCAAGATTTGTGTGTAATGGGATTAATAGAATTGTTAGATGTAATTAGAATGTCAAAGCACGTAAATCATTATACATTTAATAACTTGCATTTATATTTTTGTTAACAGAAAGAACGTATTTATATATTTTACGAGCATATTTATTTTTGAACTACATAGTCTTTATCGAGCATATAAAAACATTAATACTCGCGTGAGTTTATGAAGTATTTAAGAGTCTTATTCTTGAGTGCACACGAATTTTGTTATTTAATAAGCGTTATTTTGCTGAAGTTCGCAGAATCTAGTCAAGAAGAAGCTCAGTGAAATATTTTTGAATATAATTTATAATGATAGTATTATATACAGCGAGTACCTGTTTCAAGTAATTCCTGTTATATTTTTTTCCTTTTAATTGAATTGAATCAGTTATCCCTGCGAGGCACAGCACGTATCGTTGCATAATGTATTTTCATGTTCACTCCATGGCTAGTGTCAATTCGAAAACAACGACTTCCGGTTTGAACACTAGTCTAGCTCAAACGTAGCTCAAATTTGGACGGATTTGGTCCAGAAAAAAGACAAAAGCACTGAAAAAAACGAAAGCAAAGCGCAAAATATATATTTGAAACGCACGAAATATAAACACGTAAAGTCACGACTTAGTCACCTCGAGACAAATTTAATCACCGATCTCGAACGGTTCCTACATTATGAATTACTCACAGTGCGCACAAACAGTAACTAGATATTTAGATAACAAATAACAAATTAAATGGTTAGACCATACAAATTGACACTGAGGAGAGATATTAAACATCTTGGATAACCGTTTTTCTTTTTTTTTTTATAGTGTTCATTATTTATGTTTATATAAATAAATTCTCTGTTTTAGATAAAGATTATTGTATCTTAGCGATTATTAATTTTCATACCGATCGATGTGCTTCAGAGAATGTTACTTAAATCAATTGCACGCCGAAAGCATTTATATAATTTGATATTATAGTATTAAAGCTACATTCCATTTAAGTTCACAACGCTCGTGGAATCATTTTATCCTTGTTATTTATCAAATGTTAAACAAGGACAAATGATGTTCGCGAGCGTTATGAGCTTTTAAGTAGAATGCAGACTAAGTTGAAAATTTATTATTAATCGTTATATGAACCTAATCAATCTTTTTTTTTGTAAATACGCAGCCCGATTTCGAATATGTTAATCTAAGTTGTTTACGTTTTTGACATCAATCAAAAACGGAACAGCGAAATCCGGCTGTAACAAGGAAGTTCTTAATCGCAATGTTAGGTTTATTAACGATTGGTGCTGCCTGTAACAATTGGTGCTGCTGTACGACGTATGTAAGATGTATACGTCGATGACGAACTCCTGATTTAAGCGGCCAGTATAGACTTCAATATAAGTACCAAATATTAGATTTATATAGGCAACGAAAGGGGCGCGAGAGAGTAACGCACGCTCGATGTTGAAATATATCCGTGGCGAAATATGTGATAAATAAATGTTTCTGTATCGAGTATATCGTTGATGTTAGATTCCCTCGATGTGCGCGAATCACATATGACAATCGGGAAATTGCTGAAATAATGAAAAAATATGATAATAATTATGTCAAAGATATTTAGCGTATTGGTGTAATATTTAGTAAATATTTTTGAATATAATAATAGTTACTAACCGTTTTGCTAATAATTAGAAAAGTAAAATAATATTAGGAAAAGTAAAATTTAAATTTAATTGATTTATATTAACCAAACATTTGATTGAAATTATTTTATCAAAATTTTAGGAACTAACATTTAGGATTATTATTAAACTTTTTTTAGAGTATCTGCTGAAATTGTTGAAATAATTGTTGTTTTGTAATGGATGCATGGAAGAGAATTAATTAAATGCAGAAGAAATCTGTCATTTTGTTGGCATATAATGCAAAAAATATAATAATTAATGAGCTTATAATAGAAACATTTTAAAAGAGCTGAAAATTTGATTGGCAATATGACGTGTTCTTATTGTATTTTAACAAAAATGATGGATTTCCTTTAGAGATAATGTTTAATTTATTTCATTCCGTTCACTTTTAATTATATTGCAAAGTAACAGTTATATAATTTTAGCGACTTCTCGATTGTCACTCCGTATTACAACCGTTTCTAAAGCGACTCAACTCGATCAATATTTTTGTCCGCCCCAAATTCAACGATGGATACGAGATGTTATTACTTATTCTCTCAGCGATTGCCCGTTTCATCAGTCTCTAGATAGTACGATGATTTGTAAATAGTAGCGTGTACGAAGGTCATGATATTCCCATAATGTAAAGAGAAAGAAACACGTCACCGCATGTAACATTGAATATGTCGATCGTGGTAGATAATAAGGCTACGCGAGACAGTATTCGCCTCAGCGAAATGTGAAATCGGTTCAAGTTCAATTACAGCTCCGAAATAGATGTTATTATTCGGTTCATAATGTCGGAAAATCGATACCGAAGTCGGAGAGTTGTATTCAACGCATATATTCAATGCACAATATTGTCCGACCTGACTTTACATGCTCGACTTTATGTTCCAAATCACAGTCTTGACGCAACGGTAAAACCAATTTTGAAATGAATTATTCTGATGTAATGATTATTTGGAATTGGACCGACTTCACATATCGATTTCGGTACTATTTCGCATAGCTCTAATAGATAATTCATTCGAATCAATACTGAAAATTTGTAGATAAAAACGTGACAGGTAATGTGGCTCGTTTGGATCAAATTTGATCTTATTATTTTTTTTTATCGGTCGCTTTTGTATCCAGCGAGCCGCGATTAGTGCCATAATGTCATAAGATCGTGAAAATTAATCAAAAATCGTGTCGTTGTCTTAATCGTTACGTCCACGTACATCAATTTTCCGCAATTAAGCGCGACGGAAAGTTCACGCATTATTCTATAATTCTACATAATTTTTCAGATATACATTTGCGCATACGGAAATTATGACGAGAAAACTATTGTCGAAAAGCAATCGTTCATAAAATTTTGTTGATAAAGAAAATTTAACCATTTCTACAAAGACTTGTATACAGTATTTATTTTTTTACACGATAAATCGCGATGAAATCAATTCCATGACTTAATTGATTTTTCTCTAATGACATTGATATATCAATATGGCGCGATGGATTTACCGTGATTTTCGTAACTTTTCAATCTTGTGATGTTCTATTGAGCACAGCAATATTAAGTTTTATGTGTTCATACAATTATATTTACATTTATGCGCATTCCTGACCTAAGAAATAAAAACGAATACTATTCTTAATTTTATTCATTTTTCTTGACTTCCCACCATTCCTCTCAAATATGAGACTTATCAAAGCAGATGGATTTTTATTATTAATTTCAGAACTATAAAGTTACATTTGGAATTACGAACTATAATATCATTACGGTGTATCATGCATAATCATGCATAGTCATGCACTTAAAGAGGTACTGTAGAAAAGTATGCAGTATTTGTAAAAAATTTTATTCATAATGAAAGATGATAAAGCAGCATAGAATAGGATTTATGTATTATTTTTTGCAGAGTAATGCAAAAAATAACAGAAGACTTATATTGCTTATACAAACATAAGAGCATAGAAAATTTAAAGTAAACAATTCACAATTGTTGTTAAAGCTTGCATAACAGTCTTAAATGTTAATTCGTGAGCTTTTGTGAAAACTGAAAGAATATTTGATCAGAAAAGTAATTTAAATTGATTCTTTAAATTCTTACGTTTTTTTTCAAAGTACATATGTTATTTAAATATCTAATTGAATGTATTAAGTTTTTTTGTAAAAGATTTAATTTTTGCAATTACAAATTAATTATAGTATACAGATAACTGGAGACAGAGAGAGAGAGAGAGAGAGAGAGAGAGAGAGAAAATTTACTTTTTTACTTTTAAAAATATATGTAAAATTACAATTATGTGAATATAAAAAATTCTATTATAAACTTTAAAACGATATAAGAAATAAGTGACATTTTTTTATTGAAAATCATTCAGA